GTACATATTTTGATGTTTTTTTGTTTAAGATTTTATTTATTTGTTTAACAGAAATAGCACAAGTAGGCAGAGCATCAGGGAGAGGGAGAAGCAGGCTCTCTGCTGAGCAGGGAGCCTGATGCGGGGCTCTGTCCTAGGACCCTGGGATCTCGACCTGAGCTGAAGGCCGACGTCCAATCCACTGAGCTGCCCAGAAGCCCCTATTTCGATGTTCTTAAATGGCAGGTCGTCTTTTTTTTTTTTTTTTTTTTTAAGATGTTATTTGTTTATTTGACAGACACACAGCGTGAGAGGGGACACAAGCAGGCAGAGTGGGAGAGGGAGAAGCAGGTTTCTGGGGGAGCAGGGAGCCTGATGCAGGGCTCGATCCCAGGGTTTTGGGATCATGACCTGAGCCAAGGCAGATGCTTAGTGACTGGGCCACCAGGCGCCCCTTAAATGGCAAGTCTTACTCAGGGCTGTTCTGAGTTCTTATCTTTCCAGCATCTAGAACTTATACTGCTGTATTTGAGGTTATACTTTCCTTTCTAAATTTCTCCGTCAGGTGATCAAATGGATGCATTTCACCTAAATATAACCTGATTTCCTTCAGGAGATCTTTGATCCGGGGGCTTTCTGAAAACGAGGTTTGTTTCCAGTCATTCGGTTCTGGTTTTGTGATACTGTTTTCTGTTTTTATTCCGTTGTTTTTGTAAGCATTCCAGAGCTTAGACGTTTGTAAGTTTTGCTTGGCCAAATAGGCATGTTTGGTAAGAACGTGAGTTTTCTCTCTTTCCCTTTTCCCTTTCCTTTCCTCCCCCTTCTTCTTTTTAAGGATTTTATTTTGAAGTCCCAGTGTGGGACTCAAACTCACAAGCCTGACAAGAGTCACATGCTCCACTGACTGAGCTAGCCAGGTTCCCCAGGAACTTGGATTTTCTGATTGTTAGCTGCAGGGCCCTATTTTATGTCCGTGAGAAGAGGTTCATTTAAATGACGTGACTGTGGATGTATCTTTTATTTTTTTAATGTAAAAAAAAAAAAAGATTTTTTTAAAAAGATTTATTTATTTATTTGACAGGCAGAGAGCACAAGTAGGCAGAGAGGCAGGCAGAGAGGAGGAAGCAGGCTCCCTGCTGAGCAGAGAGCCCTATGCGGGGCTGGATCCCAGGACCCTGAGATCATGTCCTGAGCCAAAGGCAGAGGCTTTAACCCACTGAGCCACCCAGGCGCCCCCCCCAAAAAAAGATTTATTTGACATTCTGTGAGAGAGGGAACACAAGCTGGGGGGATGGGGAAATTGAGAAGTGGGCTTCCTGCTGAGCAGGGAGCCTGATGGGGGACTCTTAGTGTGGGACTTGATCCCAGGACCCCGGGATCATGACCTGAACCGAAGGCAGATGCTTTCACTGACTGAGCCCCCCCAGGCGCCTCTTTATTTGTAAGTGTTTTCTTTTCCTTTTTTTTTTTAAAGTTTTCATATTTTTTTTTTAAGATTTTATTTATTTATTTGTCAGAGAGAGGGAGAGAGAGGCAAGCACAGGCAGACAGAGTGGCAGGCAGACACAGAGGGAGAAGCAGGGTCCCCGCTGAGCAAGGAGCCCGCTGCGGGACTCGATCCCAGGACCCTGAGATCATGACCCGAGCTGAAGGCAGCTGCTTAACGCACTGAGCCACCCAGGCGCCCGTTTGTAAGTCTTAATAATTCTGTTTTGTGTGACCTGAAGTGCGTCTTGAGAAGCATTTTTCTGTGCGCAGTTGTGCAGCGTCCACGGCTACGGCCATCTCCCCTCCGCACCAGAACTCGGTACCCGCTTCCCACTGGTTCCTGCCCCGCGGCTTCTGCCATCCTGAAGGTCGTGTTTGGCTTGTGGTGCTGTTCTCAGTTGGAGGTTTTGAGGCTGTGTTGTTGCCCTTTTCTTCTCTAGGAAGGCTTGGTTCCCGATGGAGATTCTGCTCTTGCTTGCGAGTCACGTTGCTGTGGAAACTTCCTGGTGTTTGCCTTGAGCCTCTTTCATGACCTTGGAGTTTGAGTTTTTCTATCGCTTGGAGACCGTGGCGCTTTTAAAAGAACTGAATGGAATTATGACGCACAGTGTGTTCCTTAAACTCGTACAGTGTTAGGTTTGGTCGTGTGTCAAACTGGAAAAACAAAATTGACTTTGAGGATGTCTTTAGTCTTCATTTAGTTACAGTTCTTGTGTTTACTGAGGTGTTTGAATTAAATGTGCTCTTGTCCGTGGAACACTGCGGATTGCGCCTGTCGTGTCTTCATTTGTGTTGAGACGGGATTGACTGGAGACGTTTCTGTATTGCACTGTCCTTCCTCACCGGCTGCCTCGGCCTTCCCTTTGCCACGTCGTCGTTCCTGTGCTGAGAACGTACTGCAGGTCGGGCTTCCCGGCGGCTCTGAAGCCCTAACCACTGCGCCGACTGCACGACCTGCCAGAACAGAAGCGTCCCGGCACGGCTGTGCCTCTGGGACAGCGCATCCCCAGTTCTCCCCGCACCCGATCCCGTTGCTGTGAGCTCGGGTCTTACACATTGCACGTATGACCCACCTTCTCTGGTGTGTGTCCCTCTCTGTGTGCCTTCCATACCCCGCAGGTGGCCTGTCGGCGTCCTCTCTGTGCCGGCAGGACAGCTCGCGACTCGGCGCGCCCCATACGTAACCACAGGACCCTGGGGAACCAAATACTAGTTGGCCTTTAGAAGGAAGGAAACCGTGGTGTTGGTGACAGCGTGGATGAACCTGGAGGAGTGACACCAGGAAGTAAGCCAGACATAAATCCTGCGTGACCTCGTGTGTGGGATCCAAGGGAGTTGAACTCCATAGACAGGGCGTGGAAGGCTGGTCGCGGGGCTGGGGGAGGGAAGTGGGAGTGGCATCTGTTGGAGGTGCAGACGGTCCAGCTCCGAGTGAGGTCTGGGGACCTGTGGTCCAGCACGCTGACCGCCGGTTACGCATGTGCCCGATACGTGGAATTTGCTGACAGAGCGCATGTTCTCGCCTTCGAAAGAAACCGAAAGAAACGGGACGGGTCTCCGGTGGCGGAGCTTCCCCTTCGCAGTGGTTGGTTTACAGTGTGGACGTGATCACAGCCTCCTGTTGTACACCCTCAGCGGCTTTGTCGTGCTGCGGTCCAGCTGGGGACAGGAGGAGCTGACCGGGCCGTGGTTCTGTCCCTTTTGGAGCTGAGCCGCCTGGCTCTGGGCCCCTATCTCCTCGCTGGTCCCGACCTCTCCTCGGATTGGTGTTGGGCCTCCTGACCCCCTGCGGCGCCTGCACGTTCCTGGACCGCTTCCTGGGTCTCACTTGCGCAGCACAGCTCCTCCAGCTCCGTTTCACCTGTCTTAACTGGCCGGGCTGATGACTGAACCATGTCCGGAGCACGTGGTTCCCACCGCCGGTGTGCTTTCTGTTGGCTGTTGTGATTATTTTACGAATGCTGACTTGCTTAACTGATTTTCTATGAGGATGATTAGACAAGGGATTCCCACACATTTGTTTGAAAGGGAGAGAGAGTTGAGAGAGAGAGCATGAGAGGGGAGGGTCAGAAGGAGGAGCAGGGAGCCCGATGCGGGACTCAATCCCAGGACTCGGTCCTGGGACTCTAGGACCATGACCTGAGCAGAAGGCTGCTCTCTGACTGCGCCCCCCCAGGTGCCCCGCAAGTAGATTTCGTGTGCTTCTTCTGACCCTTTATTACTACTTTTTAGATTATTTGGGAGAGCGTGGATGGGGGGAGAGGGGTAGAGGGAGGAGGGCCAAGTGCATTCCTGGCTGAGCAGGAAGTTGGTGCGGGGCTCAGTCCTATGAGCCTGAGATCCTGACCTGAGCCGAGACCGAAGCCTCCTGCCCATCAGACAGAGCCGTTGAGGCGCCCCCTTCGATCCTTTTAAATTCTTAAGTACGGGGTTTCTGTATAAATGCTTGGCGGGTATGTGTAGATGCTGAGTCATGATGTCATACTGGATTTTGTCCTCTGTGGGTTGGTCCCCAAACGTTGGCAACAGCTGTGCGTGCGTCTTGTTTGGAGCAGTGGGAAATTGCTACTCGTGGCATTATTAATCTTAGACCTCACTCAGCCTTGGCACGGTGGCCTCAGGAAGACTGTCTCTGGGGTCTGATAGTTGAGTTTCTGGGGACTCGGCGGAAAGCCCAGCTTCAGGTGTGGGCAGATCAGGCTGCCGCGGGCCCTGCTCTCCTGCTGCCGTCTGCGCGCACCGTTGCAGGCTGGGCCTGCTCTTGGGGAGTCTCGGTCAGTGGTTGGATGAGGGGAGTGTGTTAGATTTCCCTCACAGAGGGAAACCATCCCTGGTGTGTGGGACTCAAGGCCCTCCTGTTAGAGGTGGTGGAAGCGAACGGAGTCTCACCGTCCTGCCCGTGAAGTGACACGGACACGGGTGAGGCAGGTCCCCGCACGAGTTTCCTGCGGAAGGTGTGGGCTCTCGGGCGCTCTGCAGTTGGTGTCGCCGGCAGGGCCGTGACTGATTCGTGGCCGGACGGGAGTTCAGGCCGGAGGCTGAAGGTGCGCTCAGAGCTGCGTGGTCAGACCTTTCCTGCGGCTCCCCAGGGACTGGGGCGTCCCCTCCTCGCCGCTCTTTGCATGGTTCCCACGCCGCAGGCACGGCGTGTTCATCCTGGCGGCCGTGAGGTCTTGCCCAGTGCCTGGCCCAGGGCCGCACTGACAGGAGGAGGTGACCAGAGCTCCTGAGCACTGCCCGTGTCGGAACACCAGGTTGGCGCGCCGGCCCGACAGCGGGTGCTTGGGTGTCCGCCCCGGTCCCCCAGCCCCCCGCGGGCCTTACTTGGCTCAGGTTGCTTTTCAGAGCTCGTCCTCCGCACAGAGCAGAGTCGTAGGGCACAAGTCTTGGAATCTTCCCAGACAAGGGCGCAGCCTGACCGGCTGGGGTTAGTGCTCTGGAGAGGTGCCCCCCCCCCCCCACCGCTGTGCTCCTTTCCCGCAGAGAACCAGACCTTGGCCGTCCTGTCACTGACCATGGGTTTCTCATTGCAGGACTCACTCCAGCAGCCTGTTAAAACATGGTGGATTACTATGAGGTTCTAGGCGTGCAGAGACATGCCTCAGCTGAGGATATTAAAAAGGCGTAAGTAACTGTATTTATTTAATAATAAATTTTCGCTGTTGTGCTGGTCCTTGGATATTGTCACTTTTTATCTATCGAAATGGGCCATCTAACAGAACACCTTTGTTTTTTTTTTTTGTTTTGTTTTTGTGTTTTATTTATTTTTTTTTTTTTTGAAGATCTTATTTATTCATGAGAGATGGGCGGGGGGGGCGGAGGGGCAGGGAGTCTGACATGGGTCCTGGGATCATGACCTGAGCCAAAGGCAGACGCTTAATGACTGAGCCACTCAGGGGCCCTATTTCATTTTATTTTTTAAGATTTTGTTTATTCAACAACGAGCGTGAGTACAGGGAGAGGGAGAAGCAGACTCCCTGCTGAACAGGGAGCCTGACTTGGGACTCGATTCCAGGACCATCCCGGTCGAGGGCAGATGCTTAACAGAATGAGCCACCCAGCCGTCCTAGCTTTTTGTTTTTTTTAATGAGCAAAACTGTGTGGTGGTGCATGTTCTCGGTCCATTTTGTGGACTCTAGGCTTTGTGCGTGCGCAGCGATCAGAAAAACCTGAGTTGGAGGAGTAACTGTGTGGTGCCCACCCTCCCCATTTCTTCTGAGAAACCTACAGTCTGATCTGTGTCTGAGTCACGGCCGTGTGCTTCTCCCGCTCCGAGGGATGTGGCCTGCCTGGCATGGTGCTCAGTCCTGGTGTGAGTCCGGCTGCGGTCTCCAGGCCCACAGGGAGGGGGGTGCTTTACGATCCGTGTAGCGTGCCTTGAGCCTGGAAGAACTGAGCGGTCTTTCCCAAAACCTGGACAGGCAGCACGCACCTGCGTTCTCCTGCGGTACCTTGTTTTCACAGCAGCGGCTAGTGCGAACGGACACTCTTTCTCCTCGTTCTTGTCCATGCGCTCTCCGTTCTTACTGCGAAGATTTGTGATGCTTTAGGGCTTGTGGTCTGCTCACTGCTTAGGGAGGTCCATAGTGGTAGAAAAATAAAGTCTCTTGGTGTTGCAGAGAGTCCAGCGTTAACCAGATTTTAAGAAGGCCAGCCAGAGGTTTTTGAGGAAAATGCTGTGGTTAAATCGAGCCACAGCAGCTTTCTGTCAGCTTGTCAGATGTTAGGAGGACTGCCTTGTTCAGGTCTAATGTTGATTCCGAGGGGCGCGCCCCTTCCCTGTTCGTCCAGTCCCCACCCCAGAGGTGGTGTTGATGTTGAGCTTAGTAGAAGAGAGCTGTGTGTGTGTCTAAAAAGCCTGTCAGCAGGACTGTTCTGGAGTCTCCAGGGAGGCCTGGATGTGGAGCGGGGCTCTCTGTGCATGGTGCCGTGCACTGATGAGCGGGGTGGCAGGCGGGCCAGCTTCGTGCTCCTGGCCTCTCTCTGCTGTGCTCCCGCAGCTCTGCGGTCCGCGCACCCCACACGCATTGGCCCTCGCCTGTGTCCATGGGCCTGTGTCTTGAGCAATTGCTTTATGCCTGCGAGGTGGGTGGGAGAGTGGATGGGAGAGCCGGTTTCTTTTGCGGTGGGCGAGGGAGGTTGAGCTGTGGAAATCGGTACGCGTCTCACGAGTTTGAGCTCCGCATCCATTTCCCAGCCCCGCGAAGTTCCATGGCCGTTGGGTTTCTGCACGTGGATGTGACCACTGTCCTTTGACTCTCTTCAAGGTACCGGAAACTGGCACTGAAGTGGCATCCAGATAAAAACCCGGAGAATAAAGAAGAGGCAGAGAGAAAATTCAAACAAGTAGCTGAGGCGTATGAGGTGTTATCAGATGGTAAGTTAACCTGCCCAGAGCTCGGACTCTCCCCAGGGCCGGTGGATGTGGCTGGCTGAGGTTTCGGGCCCTGAGAAAAGACATTCCTTCCTTTCCTTGTGAAGCTTTGAGTCCTGTTCCTGGGAGATACTTGATACCGTTACCTGTGAGTGCTGTGAGCACCCTGGCTTCTCGCAGTTTCTTTCGTGATGGCTATTTTAAACAGGACTGGCAGCCTGGTCTGAGGACTGACGGGACAGATCAGGGCATAGGAATCCATCTGGGTCACCATGTGGTGGCGGCGGCCACGATCTGACGGTGGTGCAGTGCTCTCTTCCTCACTGAGCTCACTCGGCTAGCGTGTGGATGGTTTTCACTGTGCGGAAGGGCTTCCTTTGTTTCTGGGAATGTCTGAGCTTTAGACTTCCAAATTTTGAGGTGTCTGTTCCCTGCCCCAGCTCCGGAGCGTAGGTGTTGGACAGCACAGGCTTTTGAGAGTCCTGTCTGTTAGCCTGGGCTCCTGAGTCAGGCGGAAGGTGAGCTTGATGCAGTCCGCAGGTTCGTGGTGGAGGAGAGTGTGGGAGGGTCCTGGGCTTGGGTGAGCAGCGTGGAGCTTTGTTAGAAGACTGGAAGGGTTGCCTGGGTGGCTCAGTGGGTTAAAGCCTCTGCCTTTGGCTCAGGTCACGATCCCAGGGTCGTGGGATCGAGTCCCACATCGGGCTCTCTGCTCAGCGGGGAGTCTGCTCCCCCCCACCCCCCACTTGCCTTTCTGCCTACTTGTGATCTCTGCCTGTCAAAGAAATCTTAAAAAAAAAAAAACAAAAACAAAAAAAACTCTTTGTATTTAAAAACAAAAAAACTGGAAATCTGCTGACCCCGCCTTGCCAGGAAGCAGCGCGGAATGACCTGGTGTGAGTCAGCTCCCAGGTACCTGGGATGGAGGAGTGCTCACTGGCTGCAGGGCCTGGGTCCCTGCATCAAGTGTGTCCTCGTGCGCTCAGGGTTACTGGAGAAAGGCATTTTTTTGTTGTTGTTTTTTAATGTGCTTGAGAGAAAGATAGTGACAAAAATAGAGAATACACATGGGGAGGAGAGGGACAATCAGCCGTCCCGCTGAGCAGGGAACCGGATGTGGAGCTTGATCCCAGAACCTTGGGATGGAGACTGAGCCGACGGCAGACGCTTAAGTGACTGAGCCGCCCAGGCGTCCCGTGAAAGGCATTTTTGATTTTGGAGAGAACTCCACGTAACCACGCTCCTCCGTACTGCTAACAAGACGTGAGCATCCCTGTTTTGTCTGTTAATACAGCTCTTTTACTTTAAAGGAAGTCCCAGATGTTTTGTTTCGGTAGTAACTGTTAGTAGAACACACATAAACGTTGATAATTGCAATCTTTTAAAAATGTAGCTTTAACGTGTTAAACTGAGAAATTTTAGGTTTTATGTTTTTTTCCTAAATTTTACTTGAGAGAAAGCGCAAGAGCAGGGGTGCGGTGAGGGAGAAGCAGGTTCCCCGCCGAGCAGGGCACCCGAGGTAGGACTCGAGCCCTGGACCCTGAGATGACAGGCTGAGCTGCAGGCAGATGCTTCTAACCGCTGACCCCCCGCGCGCCCTCGCTAGCGGTTTTCGGACTGGACTGACAGGCGGCACCACGGACCTCGGTGTGAATTGGAGTAGTTTTAGAACGTGGAGTGTGATTTTAATGTATGTGTGAGCTGCATGCTCTGTGCACAGGAGGCTGAAATGTCGCGACTAGCGCGACCAATCGACCAGGAAACGTGAGGGTAAGAGGATGGTGAAAAGAAATTAAGAGACAAAGAGATGGGGGCAGGAGGAGCACTGAGGAGGATGTCCAACAGGGCTAAGTTTATTCAAAGCACTAAGGCCATGTATATAGTGATAGGAGAAGCAATACGCCTGTGTCTAAACAGCCGCGAGTTCCCATAATAAGTTTCACATTTAACTACAAGCAGACCTCGTGACGCCAGACGGCTGATGCCGTACAGGTGTTCTGCATTGATCCAGCAAACCTGGAAGTAATTTATGAGCAGTACTGGGGCAGCAAGGACCAGCCATGAACTTTGACCCCAACCGAATTGGCATTTGTTCAGCAGGCGTGTGGGAAGTCCCGTGGACGAGCGCGCAACACACAGCACAGACCCTTCCTCGGGGCTCCCCGACTTTCCCGTCCTAAACCTTCTGTTCGGTTGTTTGGACTTTAAAGAGGCACAAGTCAGGGCCTGGTTTGGTCCTCGTCTCAAGCCTTATTGCGGCCTCCCACACTGAAAGAAATACTTTAGTATGTATAGTCACGTTTTAAATTTTTTTTATAACTTTTTTTAGATTTTACTTATTCGTCAGAGCGAGAGAGTGCGCGCGCTCCCGCGTACAAGCAGGCGGAGCGGCAGGCAGAGCAAGAGAGAGAAGCAGACTCCCGCTGAGCAAGGAGGCTGATGTGGGGCCCAATCCCAGGACCCCAGGATCATGACCTGAGCCGAAGGCCCCGGCTTAATGACGGAGTCCCCCCCAGGCGTCCCTATAATCACATTTTAAACTCTCTACTACTAAAAAAATTTTTCTGTTTTTAAGGAGATGTACTTGGATTTTCCCTCTTCCCCTTTTTGAAGTAAGAGGGGCCTGACTCTTTAACTAAAACCTTGAAAGCTGCATTGGTTCTTTGGTTTACAATCTGGAAATACTTTGGTGAATTGAGGGGGAAAGAACTTGGTCTTTACTGACTCTCCTTTTTAATTATAGCCAAAAAACGGGACATCTACGACAGATACGGCAAAGAAGGGTTAAATGGAGGTGGAGGTACGTAAATGTTGATTTTTCTCTTGGTTTTGTAGTGAGCAAAGCACTTTGTAGATGCGGAGTCTCTTAGGGCCCTGCTCTGTCACACTGAGTTTGTGCTCCCGGATCAGTACGTGATCCTGGGTCAGGATACCCACAGGGCTTAGAGAACAGATGGTACACACACCCCTGACGGCCTGTGGCGGTGGCCTCACACGGGTGCGTGTGTTTGATGAGACGTCCCCGTGACGGTGGGCGTTGACTGAATGCCGCAGCCTGAGCACAGACCGGGGTGACGAGCACGAGTGAATGTTTCCACGCTTGGATGTGATGCTTCATGACAGAAGAGAAACTGCCTCCTGGGTGTGGGTGGCAGTTACAGAGACAGAGAGGCTGGCGGCCACGCTGTGCCCTTCCAGAGCGCGAAGCCCAGGCTCGCGTGTCCCCACCAGCCACAGGCCACGAGGCACCCACGGTGTATGAGCCCGATTTACAGGATGTTCTGTGGATGAGGAAGTAGCCGCAAAACCAAGAACTCACGGACTGAAGGCTCTGTTGCGTCTTGCAGGAGGGATTCATTTCGACAATCAGTTTGAGTTCGGCTTCACATTCCGTAACCCAGATGACGTCTTCAGGGAATTTTTTGGTGGAAGGGACCCGTTTTCATTTGACTTCTTTGGTAAGTTCATTGTTCTGTGGGCATGTCCGTGTCCTTTTCTGTTCATCACCGTGGCGCCCTGTGGTTCAGCTTTGTTTACGCAGCGTAGGGGTTCTAAAACCCGTTTGTCTTCCTCTCGCAGAGGTTTCCAAATGAATGCCTTGCATGTGAAAATAGTATTCGTTTTCTTACATGTCTGGCTCTAATTAACCTCCCTTTTTTCTCTCAATTAGTGGTAAGGATGCAGGTGCCGGGGGCTTGGAGGTGCTGTTGGCTGTTGAGCATGGAGTTCTACGTGCATCTGCCCCGAGTTGTTCTGGTAGACACTGGGCCTTGTAAGCAGACTTGTTCAGAGGATATTGGCTCTGTAAACCTGGTCTGTTGCTCTAACTGTGGCGTGCTATGACTGTTGAGGTCATAGTCGGTGCAAAGAAGGGACGTTTCTGGAGCAAGGCAGCGCCGGTCTCATGGCTGAGAGTAGTCTCTGCTAAAGGACACTGTGGCATCCGGCTGCCGTGTCTTCCAGAACAGATTTTCCCGCCACCTCACCTCTTAGCACTGATGCCTGATGCCAGGTTTTCGTGTGTGTCTCCGACGCGGGTTTGGGGGGGGGGGGGGCACATGTATGCGCCGCACATTGAGAGCTCCCTGTCCGCCGCTGCCAGAGCGGCCCTCGGGTGCCAGGAAGCTCGGAGGCCGGAGCTCACCAGGTCCAGCCGCAGCCATTTCTGTGTTGGCTCACTGGGGGGCCCCCAGTCTGTGCTTCCATCCTTTGTGGCCTGGAACCTGGTTGGAGAGCCCGAGCACCACCTGTGCCCCTCACGAGGGAAGCCAGAAGAGAGGTTCTGCTACATATGACGGGGGAGAAACCAGTGGACCCTTGCCCGTCCTGGGCATGAAGAAGAGTAATTGGCCGCCATGTCCGGTAGGTATTGGGGCCTGTGAGATGCTGTGGCCCTGGAGTTTACTTCAGAGATTTTTCTGTTCACTGTGGTGTGGCCTGACTTGGGGAGAGTTGCTGACGGAGGGAGGGGGTACTTGTGGAATAGCTGTGTAGTGGACAAGCGTAGATTAGCTTTCCCAGCCGCAGGCGTCGCAGTGAGGCTCAGTTAGGGTGAAGAGGAGCCTGGTCTTCCGAAGCTTTATCCTGCTGCCGCAGAGCATGGACTGGGAAGGCCCCGCTGATGTGGGCGATGCATCTCTTTGTTATTCGTTAATTGGCTTTCATGTACCTAACAGATCTTAACGTAAGAAAACAAAGAATTCGTGGTCTTTTCCTGTGTTAAAATTACTTCTGTGTCTCATCACGGCCTTTTGAGAACTGCACATGTGTTGTTTTGGGGGAGCAGCGCAGTGTTGGGGACTTCCTGGTGGCCAGGCGAGGGTCCTCTGCCCCCAAGGGTTTGGGTTCCTAGCGCACGTGGGGTGGGGGAGCAGCGAGCAGGCTCATCCCGGAGCCTGAGGCCAGGCTGACTTTATCGCTTCATGGTTGGTTTTGGGAAAGAGTCTTTAGTGGTTGAATTGTAGCCAGATTTTGTTTTCCTTGGGAAACTAGTCGGTGGGAACAGTTTCATTGAGCACTTACTCCAGGGAGAAGAAGGTGTAGAGGTTGTAACTGGGTGTAAATGAGGACGTGAACAGTGTTTTACCCACTACAAGCTGCTCGAATCTCTGGGCTTGACGTGTTCTAAGTTGTGAGGGGTGTGTGTGGACAGAAATCTTGATGTACACGTGTAGCTCACGGACATGGTGGACATGTGGACATGGTGGACATGTGGACACGGGCACACTTGGGCGGAAATTTCTTCTTTTGGACTCGGAGTCCTGTTCAGTCGATAACTAGTCTTGCTGTCGTTGTAGACTCTGGCCCTTGGTTTTAGAGACTGAGCTGCTCAGATTTTAGGACTGGGTATTTTCTCTGTGTTCCCATGACAAGTGTGACAGTGACACTTCTTCAATCCATTCTTGTAGGTGTTCTAGGTGACTTCCATTTTCAGGCTCTAAGGATTTACACGCAGGAAAAGAAGCTGCTGCACGGCTACTATGTGTACGAAGTTCAGCCTGCTGGGGGTACGTGCGGTCGGGTCTTCAAGCAGGGCTGGGGCTGGCCGCCGCGGCAGTGGTTTCGCGGTGGGTAACCAGCGTCGGCGCCGTTTTTACTCCGCCCTGCTGTGATGTCCATTTGTAGTGGTACATAACTTTAGTCCTCATTTTTCACCCTTTTTTTTCTCCCTCTACTGTTCTTCTTTCTGAGAAAAGTAGGTCAAAACGTGAGATGTTCTGAACTGTACTTTGTATCAGAATATAAAATTCCACGTCTGACTCCAAATGAAAACGGACAAAACTTCGAAAAGCTAATGAGCGAGCCGGTGGGAAGGACTGAGATGTGAGGGGCACTGGGCGGACTGTACACAGGCCCCAGAACGCACCAGTGAGAACTGTTAGGTGGTGGTGGAGCCCTTGGGCCCGGGGCCTGGCTGATGCCGATACCCCGATGACCACAGCCGTCCCTGAAAGGCATTTAACCCGGATTCCCAAACCCGCACAGAGCCCCAGCCTGGAGATTGAGGGTGCGGGTCCTACCTCTGCAGGCGGCTGATCTTGTTGGAATCCTTTCCCAGATGCCAGGCACACCAGAGTGAGCTCTCGTCCAAGCGTGCGTTGGAAGGGATTGCATTCATTTGAGTCAGGTCACCTGTGCTTTTACCGGACCCAGTGACTCTGAGTTCGGACATGGTCAGAGAACACTGATGTCTTTTTTTTTTTTTTTTTTTAAAGATTTTATTTGACAGACACGAGCAGGCAGAGAGGCAGGCAGAGAGAGAGGAGGAAGCAGGCTCCCCACCGATCAGAGAGCCCGATGCAGGGCTTGATCCCAGGACCCTGGGATCATGACCTGAGCCGAAGGCAGAGGCTTCACCCGCTGAGCCACCCAGGCGCCCCAGAACACTAATGTCTTAGAGTCGTTAGAGCCCCAGCAGGACTGTCGTTTATAAGAATGTCTCAGTACACTGAGTATTTTTATTTACTTCTCACGTTAGTAAGAGCCAAACTTCAGCACCTAAAGCTGTTTCCTGAGGGCCCATTCGGTTGAGACCGTTTTCCCTTCATACACGGTCTCAGTCCTGGAAGCCGTGTCTGCGCACCCGCCGTAGCCACGGAGAAGGGACACGGCCTGTCGCGTGGGGCCGGCGGGCTTTTGGAGGGAAGTGTCGTTCCCGCAAAGAGGGTCGTAGCAGACTGTTGTGACCCAGACGTCAGTTTGACGTAGTGAGCCGGTCATTTTGCTCTCCCAGGCTTCGAGGAGGTGGCGAGTGAGGACTTGGAGCCCGGGTTGGAGGACTCGGCCGAAGACGCCGCGAGCGAGGAGGACAGCGAGGTTTTGGATGTGATCTCTAGCGAGGAGCTGGATGTCTGTAGCGAAGATGAGCCCAGCGAAGGCTGTAGCCGGGGCCGGGGCGAGCTGCTCAGTGAGGAGCTGGAGTTTGTGTCCAGCGAGGAGGAGGCGAGCGCAGGGGATGCGGAGGAGCTCAGCGAGGAGTGTGCGGAGCTGCTGAGCGAGGACAGCGGGCCAGAGCCGGAGGGGCTGCCCGCGGGCCCGCGAGCGGGGGCTGGCCCGTGGGCAGCGCGTGTGGAATAAAGTGTTTGTGCGTTACGAACCGGTGCCTGAGACCGTGCTTGCTCAGACAGTGGAGCGGTCCTGGAGGGAGTGGGCGAGTGGAGAAGGGGTGGGGCCCCGGCAGGAGAGGCGGGCGCTCCCGCAGGCCCACCCGCACCCTGAGTGAGAGGCCTGCGCTCCCAGGCCCGCTGGGTGGCCCAGGGCAGCCTCAGTCCCGCTGGCTTGGGGGCTGCCGAGAGGAAATGGTGCCTCTTGGTCTTTGGAGGCCAGGAGTGTGGAACCAGGTCCTGGGAGGGAGCAGCTCTTCCAGCCCCCTCAGATGGTCCGTGCATGTCTGCACACCCGGCCCTCTCTGCGAGTGTGTCCCTGTCCAGATTGCCCCCTCCTAGGGACACAGCACTCCTGGATTCAGACCCATCCTACTGAGCTCGTCTTAACCTCCTCATCAGCAAAGACCCTGTTTCCTTCCGGAAAAGGTCCCACTCAAGGGCTTGGGGCTTTGGGATTCCACAGCATTTTGGAGGGCCACAGTCTGTTCTGTAAAGTAGCTTTCCCCAGAGTTGTCTGTGCACTCCAGAAGCAGCCCCTTTTGGAAGGGGAGAGATGGGGAGGCCTTTGAAGCGAGGTGTGCTAGAAGGAGGCAGAGGTGAGAGAGGCGCGGGTGCCTCCCCACTCCTCAGGGATGAAACGTCACACTCGCGTGTCCCCGCACATGTCCTGGGAAGGAAGGCAAGGAGTAAGACTTGACAATCCACATGGACACGTAACGTGTCTGGCTGGTTTCCAGCGTCGTGCAGCTCTTGGAGCGGCCGCGGAGCCCGTGGTCCCGAGTGAGTGGTGGCCGCTGCCTCTGCTGCTGCCCCTCTGGCTTCCCCGCTGCTCCTCTGGGGAGGGACTGGCTTTTTGGCTCCCATTTTCCTGAAGAACGTGGCCGCACGTCACTGTGCTTCCTTGGGAGCGCTTGCCCTAGATGTAGAGCTGGCGTTCGGAAGCAGCGCGTTTCCATTTGAAGTTAATGCTGGCGAGTCGGGTGCCTTGGCTCTTTGTCCTCGAGCCCGTGCTTGGCAGTGATTCCGAGACGTGCCTGTGGCACCCTCCGGTCCCCGCCGCACGCCCGCCGGGAGAGGAGAGGCCGGCCGCCCGACAGGGTGGTTCTGAGAACTCCCTTCCCGGCCGGGAGAACAGCGGAGCCCACCCAGGGCGGATGAGCAACCCCGTGGGCAGGGTCTGGTGCCAGGCCCTCCTCCGTGCGGTCTCACTTTGCAGGGCGGCAGCGCCTGGACCGCTGTCGGTTCTACGGTGTTCGTGTAGTTTGTGGCCTCGCTTGGGTCCGTTTCCGGAGTCTCTTATAGGTCTGCCTCCCTGTGTCTTCCACGGGGAATTTTGGTCTGTGTAGTTGAGG